GAACAAATGACAAAAAAAAACACTTACGGAACAATGGGAGATGCTGACCGTGGAGAAAGATTTTCTACATAAGATTTTACCGTAACTTTTGATGAACAGTAATCGTGAATTATTACTTTATTGTTGTAAAAATATAAATGAGGAAGAAAACTTACCTGCCAACAGGTGAGGCAGAAAATGGCGAAAGATTTTCCAGAGAAGGATTTGCAACACCATTTGAGGGAAGGGACTCAAATATTCTGCTTGAATAAAACAAAAGAAAGTATCGAAGTATAAAAAAAAATCATACAGAAGAATTTGTCACACCATTGGATGGAAAAGATTCAAATATTCTTGTTATAAGAATATTCAACGTACGATTTATTGTTTGTTGTAAATGAAGGAAGAACGGAAAAAAACTTACGTAATGACAGGAGAGGCTGAATTTTGCGAGAGATCTTCTACCAGATTTTGCCGTACCATTTGATGGAAAGGAATCATTACAACTCTCCATGCGCGATTTACATACGATACCATTAAAACAATCTTGGTTTCTTCCTTGTTGGGAAGACGTATTTGTATACGAAATAAACAATTATGTTAATTTTTTTTTTTTGAAACGTGATCTGCATTTACACATTGAAACGTGGCATGTATTTTTCCACCCTACAAAAGAGATACGTTAATATATCAATGGAAAACAAAAAAAAAAACACCAAAAAAATCGCACGGCAATAATCAGCGGAACCATTACCTGTTCATCCATCAGAATCATGTCGACATTATCATCAAAATCCTTCCTCCAACACCTAATCACCCTATCTTTAATCCTACAATCCTCCTTGGTAGGATTAATATCCTTTATAAAATAATACTTGGAGAACATCGTGAACGTTCAAAACGCAAACTAAGAAAATAACTACAACAAACAAATAGTCGAACAAAAACAGTGAGAACAAAAATCGCAGAAGCAAGAGATGAGAAACGTCAGGAGCTAGAGGAAGAAGCGTCTGAATGGTTTGGAGGTTTTTCCAAAATATGAGATGCTAAGTTTTCCATATTCAAATAACATTAGTATACAACCAGTGGCGGAGCCATGTATATGGTAGGTGTGGCCTCAGCCCGAGCTAAATTTTAAAAAATTATACTTATTATATATAATTATATAATTAATTATAATTTTGCCCTGGTTAAAATTATAATTTGGCCCTATCTAAAACTTAAAATATTATTTGTAAGAGATTTGGGTAAGTTGTGTTAGGTTATGTGTTCAATTTCTACTTGTATAAAAAACAATTTAGTAAAATTAAAAAAAAATTAATAAAATTATAATTCTTCTTGGTACTGCCTTGTTCAAGTGCTCTGTATTTAATATAATTTTTGTTTACAAACTACACTATGTACTCCCAAAAGTACATTAAGTTACACTATGTAGTTCCGAAAGTATATAATATAATTTGCAAAAATTTATAAAAAAAATTGTAAATGGATCATTTCACAATTTAACTATATTATGATATGAATTAACTAAAATTAAGAAAAAATAAATACACATATAGATTACAAAAAATAAAATAAAAATACACATAATTTTTTGGCCCTATATACAACCTTTCATCTTCCAATGCAATAATTAAAAACCTTTCATCTTCCAATGCAACAATTAATGATGGTGGGTCATTAATCATCCTTTTCGATTTTTCGTTTTTGTATAAAAAGTCATTATTATGAATTTTTATTTATTTTATTTTTTAAAGGTTTTATGTTTATCATGTAACATAATATAACCTCACTTTCCTACACACACATTAAAAAGGTGGGATCCACATATTTTTCTTTCTCTTTCATCATTCCACTTTCTTTCCTTTTTATTGTATGTGTTGGAAACAACACTTAAATTATGTTACATAACATTAATAAAACCCATTTTTTAAATATTAATGCAAGTATGAACACATAGTGTGAACACACAATGTGAACACGCACCTGAAATCAAATTAGAGCTTGACACGTCAACATTTTTTAGGGATGCAAGTGTGAACACATAGTGTGAACACATAATGTGAACACACAGTGTGAATACATAGTGTGAACACAAAAGAGTTTCTTTGGTTCTCCTTTATATATATAATAGATGTTTCTACAGTAAATGTAAATAAGTTATATACGTTCGCTTCCAAAATGATGTCATTTTAGATTGAAAAATTAAAAAAACTATAATGAAAAAGACTATTATAATCTTGAAATAAATTATAATTATAAAAACAACTTGATTTTTGCATCTAAATAACATTATTTTGAACTTAATATAAATAAATTATCTATATTGACTGTAGAAAAAAAAAACCTTTATTATATTTATATTTTGGAGAGAGAAAATTGAGGAATGCCAACCTGTCATGGTGCCATTTTTCCCCAATATAAAAGCTTTCTTCGGGTCGTAGAGCTTCCGCCAGCACTTTGAAACTTACCAAAACAAGAAGGGATCTGTGGTCATTTTCGTCGTCCTAATATTCAAATAAAGGGCGTGGTCCCATCCCATCGACATTAGACGAGGGATACAACCATTTATTAATGATTTTATATTTTAATAAATAAAATTATCTTATACACACGTAAAATCTTGTTTCGTGTGAAATCATGTGAATAAAATACAAAAAATTATTCACATGATTTCTTAGAAACAAAGATAAAAGGAAGCATACGAAGAGGCGGGAGAAGAGAAGAAGCTTCGGGCTCACTTGCAAGTTACAACGCAGACTCCGTTGTTCTCTGATCGTCCTTTTCATTCTTTGGACCTCACACTCTTCACTTCCCCTTTGTCTTCGTCGCATTCTATTTTTGGTAAGCTCCTGAATTATTTCTGTTTATTCGTTCATATAGCCTAGAAGTTGTGGATTTTGGTGGATGCAAGTTGAAAAAAATCACTGTGGATATTGGTGTGTTTTTATAGATGCTTCACATTTTTAGTTGCGTGATGCTTCCGTAGCTGCTGTTACCATTTAACAAACACGCACGCCTAATCTCATCACCATAGTGGATTTTAGGCATTAGTTGTTTGTATGAAGTTCAAATAAGCCCGAGTTTACATCCAATCATGGAAGCTCAGTTGACGTAAGCATTTTTGTTAAAATCTCGATTTATCATTACTATTTTACGTTTTTACGATTTTTTGTTTTATCAAAACGATTTTACTAATATTCTAAATGATTTTACGATTTTATGATTTTTTATGATTTTTTTTTATATTATGATTTTACGTTTGATGATTTTTTAATTCTCTTCCGATTTTATTTAAAATCTCGATTTTAACAACATCAAACGTAAGAGAGTTGAGTGGGTAGAGAAAAATCACGGTTAAATCTCCACTACCAATGCAAGGAGCATGAAATCTTAATCTTTAATCTTCCCATTCTCAGAATTAGTTTTATAACCAATTTAAAAAACGGATCAACGATTAAATATATAAACCATTTAATACAAACGGATCAACGATTAAATTTGAGTGTAAATACAAAATTAATATTGTCGTTGAAAACGTTAGTGTGGATTCTATTATTTATCCATTTCTAGTTGTCGTTTGTATATTTTAGTTTGTATCATTTTATTTTGCATATGCTTTTTTTTTTTTCATTTAAATTCCAATTTATAAATGATACATTTTTTCTCCATTTAAATTCTATAAATAAGAATATGTAAAAAAAAACTTTTATTTGGGTTATATAATAATTTTTTAATGATTTAATACTTTGACCTCACATAAATATGTAAATTTCTAAAATGAACACTATGATGCTCTTGGTGACTTTAGCGTTTAATTTAATTTAATTTAAATAAACTGGAGCGGAAAAAATTATTAAAAAATAAATCATTCAAAAAATAGAAATACAAAGAGTTTTAAGGCAAACCAAGTTTTTTGAACTTTACCATTGTTTTTAGCATTATATGTTCTCAAACTTTTTCTTCTGTTTACTCTGTAACTGCTTCTCTGTGTTGGCATTGTTTGCGTTCGTTTCCTAGGTTGATATTTAATAATTAGGATTTATTATAGTTTTTAGGCTACCGCACCTTGCAAAGAACTTTGATTGTTCCAAAACTCTTATATGCAATTTGGATCGTTTTCCCCTGTTGAGTAATCATGGAAAAGGGAGACAAATGTGGCTATAACAATTACATAAATAGCACAAAGGAAGTGGGACCTAACAATTACATAAAGACTAATTATATAAGACTAATATAATGTGGGAATTCTCATTAACTTATTTTCAGTACTCTTAATATCCTTAATTTTAATATTTATTCTTTATTACTTTAAAACCTCATGCACTTTTTGCTTTATAATATATAATATTATTGTAATTTGATATCCTCACTGCAATTTAAAAATAATTTCTACTGAAGTTGCCACCTGCAATAGCATTTGTCATATTTTACCAAAACATATTGTTTTCTTTTGCGGGAGATTTGTATAACACCTTTAATAAAGCAACTTGTAAAAAAAACAACATTCTTGAGCATAGCTTTGCTTTAAGAATGGGCTGCTGCATCAGTCAGCTTGTAATAAAAGTGTCAAAATGTTCTCATTGCCAAGTGCCAACCCTTTTCTTCTGAATTTTTTTTAAAACTAGAATGATTATAAGAAACGTGTAATATTATTGTTTTATTGCATAGAAGGATTATAAATTTTCCACCGTGAATTTCTTACTTATAGTAGAATTAACTATCCAGAAGTCCTGGATATTTTGGGCACTCTGAACTCTGTCTCTCTCAACAATTATGGATATAGTAATTTTGCATGCTTGTTTTAAAATGCAGGCATTCATTTGAAATTCATGTATTAGTTTCAAACCTCTCCTAGTCACATGAATCTTTTTCAACATGAAGCATTGCCATTTGTTATGTGTTAATAATTTTGTGTTATTAAACGGACTTGCTTCCCCTACTTAGTTACTCTGTTGTGTTCTTGTTTCATCATGTTCACTCAATTATTTATGATTTACTTTGGTGTTACAGGCATAAAGATGGGCACAATAGAAATTGTGGATTTATCCAGTGATGATGAAGGGGAAAATCATAGTCCAAGAGCTGTTAAAGAGTGTCATAGTCATTCTGGCATACTGGAGCAGAGCTTTTCGCCAGTTGATGACAGTGGCCTTTCTTGTCCTCAGTCACTTTGTGCAGCACCCATATGCAGGCAGTTTTGGAAAGCTGGCAACTACGATAATGGGTTTGGTTCTGAAGTTAGCGAACAAAGTAATCCAACATAAATTTTCTCAAATTAATATGGAAGCAGTTGAACAGCTTTGTTTTATGTTTTCTTGTTGATTGCATTACTGGTTGGAACGTTTGTAGTTTTTGCTGAGATTTTGCTTGTGTGTAAGGAGTTAGTCTCCAATAGTGTTTCTTGTTGAATTTTGTTGGGATATTCAAGTGTGATGAGTCCCACATTGGTTGATAATGGACTAAGTGAAGAGTATATAAATGGAAAGACCCATGAACCCAATGCCTTAAGGTTTTGGGTTGAGACATGGTGTCGGATCCACTTGCTACGATTGGTGTAGCCTTAGTGACCCATGAACCCAATGCCTTAAGGTTTTGGGTTGAGACATGGTGTCGGATTCACTTGCTACTATTGGTGTAGCCTTAGCTCATTGGTGGTGGCTCCCATCACGGGCTCCCCCTGGACTCGCCTGACAAATTTGAGATACTAGTACCATCAATATTCTGTCAACCAAGATTTTAAATAGACTGCTAATTACTAACAAATATTTTTTTTCCCTCTTAAATTTCATAGGATTATAGTTACTCAGATATCTGATGCTATGTGCTAAGCTTGTAGCCCGTAGGTTCAAAGGGTGTTTGTGCTTCGGGACTCATTATGTATATGTTTTTTTTATTGAATTGCAGATGCAGGAAACTATCTACATGTCCACCCATTGTTCCTTCACTCAAATGCAACTTCACATAAGTGGGCATTTGGTGGTATGTTCTGACTTCTGATGATCTATTTAAACTTATCTCTTCTCAATGATTCTTCTAGACACCCACCTTTGTGATTATTTTCATGAGTTGGTCTTTACCTCTGTTTTTCTGTCTGCAGCCATTGCTGAGCTTCTCGATAATGCTGTTGATGAGGTGATTTTTCCTGATGTTTGAACTCTGAAACTACTAGAAGTTTTAAAGTCTATAGCGCTATTTTCTTTGATCTTTTGCAGCATACTAAGCTATTGGCGACTAGTAGTGCGGTGTCTATTCACCTGTGTTATTTTCCTATCCTAAATTACTTTTTTTTTTTTTTGTCTTGATTTGGCACGGTCTCTTAACATTGAAATTGAAATATATGAAATATATAAAATTGTAGAATCTTTCTTTCTTTGATACATTCATTTTGAACTAGACTTTGATGTCAGGTCATGTTTATTCGATTATTTTATTCTTTAATTGTTCTTGCATATATTATTGTTAAATTTTAATTCTGTTGTCTCTACTATTTTGTGTTTTTGTCATGTTTGAAGCTGTCATTTAATATTTTGCATTTCATTTTCTTATTTTGTATCGCATTGTTGACTTTTGTTCATAGTGTAGGTCCAAAACGGGGCCACTTTTGTTATTGTAGATAAAATTTCTAATCCGAAGGATGGAAGTCCAGCTTTGTTGATCCGAGGTATATTGCTTCTGGTACTCGTCAATTATTGGAGTTGATAGGTCGTGGTTTTGAATTCCTACTTCTGAATCTTGTATAAGAACTTTTTTTCCTTGAAAATGGTGATTTGGTCATATGCTATATTCTAATTGTTTTGATTTTGTGTTGAAACTTGGCAATCAGACAATGGTGCTGGAATGGATCCAGAAGCGATGCGCCGTTGCATGAGCTTTGGTTTTTCAGATAAAAAGTCGAAGTTTGCAATTGGACAGTGTACGGACCGTGGCATTTTTTATGCAATGATTTTGGTATTCTCTTTTGTATTTATTTTTTATTTTGGCCTTGCAGATGGAAATGGCTTCAAGACTGGTAGTATGAGACTGGGTGCAGATGCCATTGTCTTCAGTCGCCACTTGAATAATATGTATGGGACCAAAAGTGAAAATTTCACATGACTTTACGCTATAGTTTGTTTAGGCATTGTGCTATAGTTTCACATGACTTTGTATATTGAAATTGAAATTCTGATTGCAAAAACTGAAAATGACTGCTCCAATTTTCTGATGCTTCTTTTTTATATCCTTAGAGAAATGGGAAGATAGATTACAGTGTTTTAGAACATTGACACAATGTTCTCTAATGTTGGGAAGTTGAACTCTCTGTCTCTGGATGCTATAACCTAAAACCAATCCATTCTTTGTACGTTTATAATTACAACCTAGTTGGTTCTTTCTCTCACTCTCTTTCTATTCTTTCCTTCACTTGCTCAGATGAAGGTTAAGGCAGGATGGTTGTACAACAATATGTGAAATTATTAGAAAAAAGTTCAATTGCTATTATTTTTCTTTTTTCTTACTGATTGCTTGTTGATCAGGATATTGACCCAAAGCATTGGACTTCTGTCTTATACATTCTTGATGCGAACACAGCTTGACAGAATTGTAGTACCCATGGTGAGTATTTCCCATTTTTATCACTTAGAAGGTTCTGCTTTATATAGTGTATTTATTAAAATACTAATTTTCTTCTTGATGCTGATTTGTTACTTAAAAAATTGAAATGGTAATAGTATATTGCTAGGTCCAGAGGCTTACTCCAGAAATTACTATTTTATAGCGTGCCTTATCCTGATTGTTTGAACCAATTATCATGTTTATTTACTTTTGGTAAAATATCTCCCTAAAGTATAGCCCTTCCTCAACTTACCACCCAGAAGTTTTCTTTTTATCACTTAACGCCCTTGATGTTTGGTTGTAATTGAAGACTTAGTTTTTCAGTTAAATTAAATGCAGCATTAGGCATGTGCACACAACATGACCTACGTTGCACCGACACCGACACCAACATGGGACACGAGATACGATACGACACGACACGACACTCCGACACGTTAATTCTAAAAAATGTTGAATTTCGACACGTTAGGACACGTTTTGATATTATATAATATTGTTAATTTATGTGGTGTATATTATATTTAGTATTCAATAATTTAACAAAAAAATAAAGCTAAACTTATAATACCCATCAATTTTGCAAGGAAACATAATATATCCCAAATGTTTATATTAAACTCAATAAATCGTAATCGTAATCGAACGAATCTAATAGTTGGAACTCAAAATGTAACACAATGTAACCTTTGAACCTTTTTTGAGTCTTTGCAACGAGTATTGGAGTGTCGGGAAGTGTCAGACACGACACGTCAGGATTTTTGAAGTGTCGGTGCTTCATAGAACATGACCTTACTGTCACAAAAAGTTTTTCTTTACCGTTTAACCTCCTTGAATTTTGTTTATTTATCACTTTATCCCCTTTGAATTTTGGTTTTTAAAGGCTAACTTCTGATTTATTTAACTGAAACAAGTAACATTTCACTTAAAACCAATTAACCAAACTACATGGGATTAAGTGATAAAATAAAAAAAATAAAAAATTCAGGTGAGGAATATTTCATAAAAGGCTTGTGTTTTTATTGATCTTTGCCTTAATCAAGAACGAAATCCAATTGAGAAAGGACTGTACTTCAGGAGCGGTGAAATGTATTTTACTTTTACCCTTTACTTTTTCCACTCTTTTGATTATCAGTACACTTGTGTGTTGGTGTAGAGTACTCTTAAGTTAACTTGACATTGTTATGGTGGATATTGCTGAGCCTTATTACCAGCTTTTCTCTCTCTTGTAAACCATCATGATGGTTTGATGCATTCCCTATATTCTCCTTCTGATGATAACCCTTTTATAGAATGAAGGTTCTATCTACTCTATAAGTTTCAATTTGTGCTACTAATTGATCATGTTCATTTCAGGTTAATTATGAGTTTAATTCATCAACTGAATCCTTGGAAATACTAAATGGCCGAGAGCATTTTAGGTCTAATTTGTCTATGCTGTTGAACTGGTCTCCATATTCATCTGAAGCAGAACTTATGAAACAGGTCAGTCTCCAAATTTTTCTTATCTTTGAAAACCGGTTGCCTCTTTCAGAACATATTGAATGGTTGTTATACTTCTGTCTTTGCTTTTTCTGTTTCATTGTTCCTGACAACATAACCTTATTTATGGCTTGAACATATAATTTACTTTGAAGGATTGTCAGATTTTTATTCTCTGCTCTTTCTTTTCCATTGTTCTAGACAATACAGCCTTACAACAGAACATATACTTTGGTTTGAGACCTATTCTCCCCTTTTTTTTCTATTCCTTAATATCAGTTAGGTTTCTCTTAGGAGTTGTGGTTGCAATATACGAATGTAGGATTCCCCATTTATAATTGTGGTACACCTCTGTTTATCTATTTTGTTGATATATTGGTGTCAAATTTGGCATCAAATATAATTGGTAAAACAGTAAGGGGTGAATGGGTTTCTTGCCATCTAAGGCTTGAGCTGTTCAGTGATGCTGAATGCTGATCAGTTTTTAGAGAGGAAAGCCAGAAGCTCCTTTATGGGAGAGAATTGTTTGTTTAGCATTGCCTTGGTGTTTAGTGGATTGGCTTACTGCTTTTTTAGGGTGTTTCTCTTTCTATTACTAATCTTCAGAGAGACCAGAGAGATTTATTGCTATTAAAACTCAATCCAGAGAACTATACATCTATTTCATTTATTTGTTACCTCTTAAATGAGGTGTATTTATACAAGTATTAATAACAACCTATCCGAATAATAGGTAACTGAATTACAAAAATTCTCTAATCTAAACAACTTGTTCCTATCTAATAATAACAGTATTTCAAAATATAATTTCAATCTTCAACACTCCCCCTCAAGTTGGTGCATGGATATCAATCATGCCCAACTTGCCAATGATTTCTTCAAACACTTTTCCTGAGACAACTTTTGTTAATACATCAGCAAGTTGCTCCTGGGACCGAACATGAGGAATTCGAATTATCTGATTATCAAGCTTTTCCTTTATAAAATGTCTATCCACTTCAACATGTTTGGTTCTATAATATTGAACTGGATTTTTTGTTATTTCCACAGCTGCTTTGTTATCACAGAAGAGACTCATTGGTTTATCATATGAAATTCCCAAGTCAGCTCGAATATTTCTCACCCATAGCAGTTCGCAAACACCATAGGCTATACCTCTGAATTCAGCCTCAGCACTGGATCTTGCCACTACCTTTTGTTTCTTGCTCCTCCATGTAACCAGACTTCCCTCTACAAAAGTAAAATACCCTGAAATTGATTGCCTTGTGGTTTTATCACCTGCCCAATCTGAGTCTGTGTATCCTTCAATGCATGCTCTATTATTTTTTGAAAACAAATGTCCTTTCCCTGGAGAACCTTTGAGATACCTCAAAATACGATATACTGCCTTCATATGCTCTTCACTAGGAGAGTGCATGAACCTACTTACAATGCTTACAAAATATGCTATATCAGGTCTAGTATGTGATAAATAAATTAATTTTCCTACTAACCTTTGATATCTGCTCTTATCTATCTCAACCTGATCCGGATAAACACCTAAAGAATGATTCACTTCCATTGGAGTATCAACAGGCTTGCAAGCCATCAGTCCAGTCTCGGACAAAAGATCTTAAATGTATTTCCTTTGAGACAGAAATATACCTTGTTCAGATCTTGCAATTTCTATTCCAAGAAAATATTTTAGAGGACCCAGATCCTTCATTTCAAATTCAGCAGCTAATTTCTTCTCAAGTAACTTCATTTCTTCTTCTACATCATCCCCTGTTAGCACCATATCATCTACATAGACAATGAGTATTGTTACCTTCCTTTTGTTATGCTTTATGAACAATGTATGATCCGAGTTGCTTTGCTTATAACCAAACTTCTTCATTGCTAAAGAGAGCCTTCCAAACCATCCTTGGGTGATTGTTTAAGGCCATATAGAGCCTTTTCCAGTTTGCAAACTACATTCTCCTTTGAAGAAGTTAGCTTCACTCCAGGTGGAACCTCCATGTAGACTTCCTTTTCTAAGTCACCATTCAAAAAAGCGTTCTTTACATCAAACTGTTTCAATGGCCAGTCTCTATTTGCAGCAGTGGATATTAAGATTTTGATTGTATTAAGTTTAGCCACAGGAGCAAACGTGTCTTGATAGTCTACTCCCTACCTTTGTGTGTATCCCTTTTCTACAAGCCTTGCCTTGTATCTATCAATACTCCCATCTGCTTTTAGCTTCACGGTGTATACCCATTTGCACCCAATTGTCATCTTCCCACTCGGTAGAGAGGTTAATCTCCAAGTTTTATTGTGCTGGAGTGCTTCCATCTCAGTATTCATTGCTTGCTTCCATCTAGGATCTTCCAAAGCTTCCTGCACACTATTAGGAATATATACAGTAGATAATTGATCAATTGTTAGAGTATATAATCCAGACAGCCTATGAGATGACACATAATTACTAATAGGATACTTTACTTTCACTTTCGAGTCTGGTTCATAAACAGCTTTGGGTTTGCCTTTATTCAGTCTCTCTGATTTTCTGATTTGAATACTATTAGGAGCAGCAGAAGTTGAAGGATCTGTACTAGGGAAAGGAATCAACTCGGTTCTGGGTTCAGAATGTAGTTCAGAATCATGTACAACAGGTGATTCAGTTAGACATGGTGTCTCATACGGTAAAGGAGGACTTGCATCGTTGAGATCTGCTTCTGGAGGATCAAAGATTACTTCAGGTGAAGAGCTTTGAGGAGAATTAGTGTTGGTGAGCTGATCATTTGTGTTGGAAAGAATTGGAGTAGGAACCATAGAAATAGATAGCCAGAATTCTTCTTCTCTATTGTGCTGGATCTCCCCCCTGAGAAGAAGAAGAAACTCCCCCTGCATAAAAGGCTTCGGTTTCCCTAAAAGATACTTCAAGGGTAACATGCATTTTGTGGGTGGTAGGATCAAAGCAACAGTATCCCTTTTGAAGGTCAGAATATGCAACAAAGATGCATTTCTTAGCACAAGGATCAAGCTTGTTTCGTAGAGGTTTGGGAACATGGACATAGGCAGTACAACCAAAGACTCTAGGTTCAAGATTCATTACATGAGGGATAGAGAAGAAAGTTTCAAGTTTTTGCTGGGGAGTAAGAAAATTTAGAGAACTAGAGGGAGTACGATTTTGTTGAGATATATAAAACCATTAATGTAGCCTCACCCAACAGCTTAAGCTTTTGGGTTGAATTGGTTCTTTACATAGTATCAAAGCCTCGCCGCCCCCCACTTTCTCTTGTGGACTTTTTTAGCACAGCTAGGCTGAGCCTGTTGCATCTTCTACTATTCAAGCCCAATGGGCTCTCGTGTGAGGGGGCGTGTTGAGATATATAGTCCCATATTGATTGTATGTGCAACTAATGTGGAGTTTATAAGGCATTGGGCACTCCCACCCTTTGAGCTAGCTTTTGGGGTGGTGTATCCCAAGGTTTTTTACATGGTATCAGAGCCTCGTGTCCGGGTTCGATCCTCACTGCCCCCCACTTCTTTCTAGTGGAATTTCTTTCTTCGCACAGGTAAGTGGGCCTGTGCATTGTCCACCCTTCAAGCCCAGTGGGCTCTCGTGTGAGGGGGCGTGTTGAGATATATAAAACCATTAATGTAGCCTCACCCAACAGCTTAAGCTTTTGGGTTGAATTGGTTCTTTATATGGTATCAGAGCGGGTTGGTCTTGAGAAAACTCAGCCACCACAAACACCGTCAAACCGGCGGCACAACGCTGGAAAACTCAACCTCCAACCATTATTAAGGTTATTTTCCCTTTCTACAAAGTCCCAAGAGCAAAGTAAGGCTACCAATCACTGAGAAGGCAAAATCCCAGCTTTCCACCACCGTCAGCAGCCGTCGGAAAAATTTTCCGGCGACATTTCCGGCCAAGATCCGCACCATTCGAAACAGAAGGAGCCGATCTACAAGTTTCAAGAAGGACCATCGGATTCTGCTGAGCCACGCGCCCCCACGCGCTAGAGAAAGGACGGAGCGTCCGCCCTACGCGTTACCACACGCAGCCATGTTTATTGAAAGTAAATTCCCATCCAGCAATGTTGCTCAACAAGGTATAGCGTTCCATGTTGATAATAGTAGTCGATGGATTCTCGATTCAGGGGCTTCAGATCATATGACAGGTAATGCAACCTTATTTTGTTCTTATACCCCTTTCTATCAACAATCACGAATAAGAACAGCAGATGGCAGCTTCTCTACTATTGCTGGAAAAGGATCCATTAAACTTTCTGAACACATTACTTTGAACTCAGTCCTTCATGTTCCCTCTCTTACTTGTAACCTTATCTCTATCAGCAAACTTACGTCTGAGTTACATTGTGTTGCCAAGTTTTCTGTCAATGCTTGTGTTTTCCAGGAACAGGACTCGGGGCTGATGATTGGCAGTGCTAGAGAGGAAGAAGGACTTTATTATTTAGAAAAAGATTCTTGTGAAGGAAAAAATTTTGTGAACCACTCGGTATCTTTGTCTGATGATTATAATGATGTTTTGTTGTGGCATCGTCGGTTAGGACACCCACATTTCATTTATCTTCAGAAGTTGTTCCCAAGCTTATTTATCAATAAAAATCCGAGTTCTTTTTCTTGTGATATTTGTCAGCTTGCAAAACATTCTCGTGTTTCTTATCCTCCTAGAGTCCATCATGATTCTTCTCCATTTACCTTGATTCATAGTGATATATGGGGTCCAGCCCGTGAAAAAAATATCTCTGGTGCTCGTTGGTTTATAACTTTCATAGATGATCACTCTAGGGTATGTTGGGTATACCTTCTAAAGAATAAGTCTGACGCTGCATCCTCCCCATCAAAGGTCCAAGCTCGATCGTAAGTCCATTAAATGTGTCTTCATAGGATATCCTCCTAACCAAAAGGGCTACAAGTGTTACTCATTTTCACTTCATAAGGTCTTTGTTTCTATGGATGTCACATTTGATGAGAGACAATCTTTTTTTTCCTTCGACTTCTCTTCAGGGGGAGTC